TAAAAAATCGGTGAACGAATACCTGAGAATAAAAAACCTGAAAACACTCGAACATTCCTAATTAAAATTTCCATCGAGACCTAAAAACCCAAAAATCCAAAATTAAACCCATCAATTCCCTCTGTTTCATGTACCAGAGTCCACAGAAGATGGGCATATGAATGCATAGAGAATGAAGGCAGTGACACGGTGATGAAAAATCGAGACATGAAGAAGACGTCCTAACTCCCGCCATCGCCAAGCGATGCCCTAAAATTCCCGATGAAAAACCATCAGTAATGATAAATAAAATTCTAAACACGCGAATCCTCCAGTAATTTTAAGGACAGGCAAAAAAAAAAATTGTTGAAAACTCATAATAAAGAATTACCCTAGCTGTTTAAATCAATTCCAAGGTATTAATTAACATTTTCTGATCACCGGCAACCCTAACGTAGGTCTATTGATTTTCAAAAGCACGACGCGTTATCCCTCGACAAGTTTAATGCGCAAGTAACCGCGCACACAGGCGCAGATACAAATCCTCGTATCATTCCAACTAAAAGCGATTGAAGTGAGGGTGTGCTGTGATGGTCTTTTCCCTATATCTGCAACACTGAGAATAATCTCCAGACCTTCTCCAATACGGTAATTCTTATCATCACAAAAAAATTCTCAAAAGGCAATTATCATCCACCAGCGAACAATCACAATCCAGAGAATTTCCACCGATCTCCATATCTCTCCTCCAACCCTTTGCAAACCACAAACAAACAGTACTCAAGGCAAAAATAACAACGAAACGTCTACGAAATTAATTGGGCATTAACGTACCACATAATTAGTACCAGTGACTGACGGATGGCTGAATAATTGAAGATAGCTGATAAAAATTGTTGTGAATGGAGACAGTGTTGGGTGATAACAGTGTGTATACGAGTGTCACGATTGATCTCGTCTGTTTTCTCTAGAGCATTGTCCCTCGGAATAACGTGTGAAAATTGCCCTGACAGTCGTTCGGGTTGATCATTAATTACAGCGATTGAAGCTGTGCAATAACGAGGGGAATCAGAAAATCTGAAATTAGATGTAAAAGTGCTCAATATCTTTTTGAATTTTCACCGGTGGTTATGGTGAATCCGGTCTTCCAGACAACTCAACCACTTGAAGATACAGTGAATTCATTATCATTGATAAATTAATAATCGTAGATTGGGAGAAGAGAGGCATTGATAACAGACAGCGTGGGATGATTGTGAAACTGATGAAGAGAAGTGTGTGAGGAGGCGTTGTAAAGGCCAAAGTCGCATCATCTTCATTCAGAAGTTGTGGCAAGTGGGTGGGAATATCACCCCCAAGAACTAGAAATCCTTACGTCGTGCCATTCTCCTATATAAGGAGATTTACCAGGGGAGAAATAGTGAATCCTGATTTGATCGTCGTGGTGGCAAGTCAATTGAAAGTCAACCGGCGAGGAGTGGTGTCACTTGAACGAGGGGGTGAATTTGTTGGTTTAAAATTATTTAACTGGGGACCCCGTTAACGGGGGTTAAATCATTCACCACGGCAGATGTCAGGATGCCCGAACAGAGCAACGACTATAGAGTCGTGGTTTTTGGGGCTGGGGGTGTCGGCAAGAGCTCCTTGGTACTGAGATTTGTTAAAGGGACTTTTCGCGAGTCCTATATACCCACTATTGAAGATACTTATCGTCAGGTAAGTGCGGGATTGCTCAGTGCACGGCTCTCGTTTGGTGTTTATTGTCGTGGTGATGCGGTGGAACGAGATTACATTAATTTCAATTTTTTCAATATTCCTCCCCAAGTTTCACCCTTATTTTCACAAATTTTCGCAATTAATCATCAAAATTATCCAAAAATTCCTAACAATTATTGAAAAATGAGGATTTACCTATTTGTATAATTTTTTAATTAATAATATAAATAATAAATTGAAATTAATTCCATTTGTAATGAAAAAATCATAATTAATGATAAAAGAGATTGAAAAAATAATCGAAAATCGTTTCACCAATCAGGACTAATGACCTTCATTACTGTAAATCTCTAATGGCTCTTCACGACGTGCAATTATGACCATTCCCTCTGTAAGGAGTCATTGGAATGACGCTGTACCCATGTGTGTTCTAATGACTTTGATCGATTTGTGTTAATACGTAATTATGCATTGACTGGGAACTGACCTGGGACCTGTGCTGTATACCATATGCGATACGTGTGCCTTGAATCATTAATTCGATGAGATATTACACCATTAGAAGTGCCAAGTGGATTTACACCCTTCAGAAAGATAACGTACTCTCAATTTATGACCATTACCATCTCCTCTCGAGGGAGATTATTCTCCACGAGATACTCTCTCTCAATACTAGAAGATATTTTAATGTAGTTATCCCCTCGAATACTTGAAATGGATCATTCAAAGACTTGAGAGCTCCCCATCGGCTCAAAGAGCATTAATAAATCTCTCGAGACACAGAGAAGACTTGAATCGATTGCTACGATAATTACAGCTTGAGAAGTCTTTCAGGAAATTTAAAATAGCTACTGTAATTAATTTACTGAGCAGTATCAAGGCTTCTCATGTCTTGTCACGTAATTTTCAGCTGCCTTAGAAGATGGTAACACGGTATTACGCTGAGAAATCGATTGTCTGTGTCTAATTCCACTTGTTGACTTCATGGAGTTGCCTCTAGCCTTTTTTGTATTTTCCTTAATCTTCTTTGATCTCGCTCCTCCAATTGTCCTCGATGAGCTTCAATGATAACTTCAATATGAAGCAAATGAAAATTGTTTATTTCATTTATTTATTTTTTATTAATGTTTTGTCGAATGATGTGTTTTTGGAGAATGTTCCGTGCTCTGTGACCTGTTCTCACTCCTCATTATTTCAAAAATCTAGTTGTTTTCATTTAAATCAATTACTTCATTTGGATTTCGAAAATATCGAAATTCTTTTAATTGACGGACAAAAAGACCGGAATAAGACTCACTAATTGGAAAATTGACTTGAATCTTTGGAGTAGATTCAAAATGATTTTCCTATTCGAATCAGATCTGGATGTTGGATTGACCCATATTTATCAGTTTTTCGGAGAAAATCGGTTTGAATCGGGTTGTGAATGGAGAAATATTTTTAGGTGATTAGCTGCAATAAAAATATATGCACGCTTCAAATAACGGATACAACGGGGTCCCATCAGTTCCCTGCAATGCAACGTCTTTCGATAAGCAAAGGTCACGCTTTCATCCTGGTATATTCAGTTTGCTCACGACAGAGTCTAGAGGAGCTCAGACCAATATGGGCAGTGATACGTGAATTAAAAGGCCAGGATATCTCACAAATACCGATAATGCTGGTAAGAAAGTGGATCAGACACATCAAGATTTATATTTTACTTTAAAAGTTGCGATAGGATTATACATCTTCAATTATTTAATTACGATATTTTTTTCTCGATATTCGGATATTTTTTTTTTGCGAATTATTTATGGGATCGACGTGGAAAAATGTTATTGTTTTTCAAGGTAATTTCGACGTAAGATTTCTAGAGAAATTTACAGAGAAAAAGTCTGGGGTTGGGGGCTTTGAGTTCCTCGAGGTTTGAGATTAAAATAATTAGCAACAAGTGCATTTAAGGTTTCGCTTAAAAATAACAGGCCTTTCCAAGGCTTTCGCTCGGAAAAGCCTGGCTTTCCTATGACGTTCAGAGAGCGGAATAAAGTTGATCATGCAAAACGCCCTTGTGGCATTTCCGCCCCAGGGAGTACTTGCATCAAAGACTTTAATGATGAGCCCTACGTCATCATCAGTCGCTCGTATTTTCTTCGAAATGGTCCATTCGGTGGTGGAGTCTTAAAAAAAAAATGAGACAATTTTTATTCATGGATTTATTACGGAATCGGTGCAATTTTTCGTCTCAATTTTTCGTTCGAAGTTCTGAGAAAATTGTAGTTATTTTTTTTAGCATTTTTATTGGTATTCGTGTATTAATTTATGCAATTTATTGAACTCTCAATTATTTATTAATAATAAATGAGGTGATGAATTTTCAGTTTAATATCAATTCGAATATTCCGAGAATTTCTGAAATTTTTTCTTCCCCTGTTTTCATTAAAATTTCCCCCTGGAGTATTTCGCGTTAATAGTCATTAGTACTTGGTCGTGATTTTTAATTGCTTGCATTGCACTCGGTAATTGATGAAATCTTGTAATTACGACAGGTCGGCAACAAGTGCGATGAGAGTACGTTGCGAGAAGTAGCAATGGAAGAGGGAAAAGCTGAGGCTGACAGCTGGGGCTGTGGCTTTCTCGAGACATCAGCAAAAACAAATCACAATGTTAATGAACTATTTCGAGATTTGTTGACACTCGAGAAAAATCGTGCGGTATCATTGCAACCGGTTTCAAGCAACAGTGCGATAAGCCTTAAGGAGAAATGTGCCGTTATGTAAATTATGATAATTCAATTAGACGGTAAATTATTTAATTTAGATAAAACATTATTTATTTAAGCATTAAAGAATCAATGAATTAATCAATCGACTTTTCACCGCCAATCGATCGTTCACGTCAATGTCTTCGCCGACAACATCAACTCGACTCTAAGCGATAATAATAAATTATGAACAGAATAACAATAATAATGATAATAAGGTGAGTAAAGGTAATATTGTAATATTATTGAGTAACAATAGGGATAAACGACGAATTATCATTATTTTCATGACGTCTCAGTGGTACAATCGGCACATGAAAATCGATCCTCATTGTCGGTACTCCATAATCATCGGTGTAATTAGAAAATTTATCTCCTGCACTGAGAGAATAAATTACTTATCATCGTTTCAGGGTTTCAAGATTCATGTGAGAGATTAAAATGGTTTTTTATTTATTTAAATAATTTAAATGAAATGAATTAATTTCCACACATAATGAAAATTCATTAGCCATGAGTAATATTTGTTAATTGGATTATAATTAATACGAGAATTTTTTTTTCTCTCAGTGGCAGAAGAGCCCATCGCGACACGAGAATAGTTTAAGTCCATGATTATGAAAATAGTTATTAAATATTTACTGCAAATTTGTGTGCCTATATCTGTGTGAACAATTGAGTGGCTAGTAATCATACAATTGGCGGGGACGAGCGTTACAATTTTTTACGCCAAGTAATTAGAATTGTTTTGCATAAATGATGAATAAATAAATGCGAAAAATACAGGTAAAAATATTAGGGAGGAATTGGTGGGGGCGGTTTGTTGTCGGCAAAAGGTCGGTTGAATTATTTGAATGAGAATTAAAAAAATAGCAACATTTATAGATAATTATTATGCATGTTAGGTCACTTGACACATCTTTCATCTGAAGTTGATCCATTTAGTATTGTTCGGTGAATTTGTCAACGATATTTGTCCTGGAAAATTTATTCTCGAGTGTCTCTCACCGCGTGGTGGGAGGCCATTTTTTTTTGGTTGTTTATACAAAAGTTAATTGAGGAATTCGAAGTATTATATTGGAAATAAATCTAAAAATTGATCTGTCATTGTCTATTCTGTGGTGACAACGAATTCATTTTATTGGATTTTATGTCATTCCAATATTTGATTGCGATTTTTTTTATTGAGGGTAATGTAAGTATTTTTTATTATTCATTCCATCGTTCGATCGTTCGATGTATCGAAAATCTGTTGAGCGACACCATGAGTTTAACAGTCGATTATTTACAATAATTGTTCCTTCTATTTAGTTAAGATGATTATAATAATTTTATAATTACGTGTGACGCACAAATGGAGAGATTTCCTCATGTTTTAATATTTGGAGTGCAATGAGAGTTGTCACAGAATAGAATTGTTGGATGATTCGGCTGAAAACACGAGTGAAATTCAATTGATTGTAAAAATAATGAAAATTCTTAATGAAAATTGGATTAACGACGCAACAAAACAAACGTACGACGAGTACTCGCAATGATGTGCATATTACATGTAAGAATTGTTACGAAAAAATTGGTTTTTGTTGAATAGTTGTAAGATTTTTCTAATAAATGGTACTAGAAGGGATCATCGTCATTCTAGGCGGGAGAAAAAATTATAAGACCATCCGAATGAAATTTAATCACAACAAAATGACATTGGATTATCAATTAGAATATATTGAGATTTTAAAGCAGTTGAAATTGCGGTGGCCGTGATCGAAAATTTATGCGTTCGCGAATCTGAAGTTTATTATAATTTTTGAATTTTTGAGACATTATATCAATCATCGTCATTTGTCAGACTCTTTCTCGCTTCATGTATCGGAAAATGTGTCAGTGGTGGAGCTAAATATTTTATTTAACTTCAGAAAATATTTATTGCAAAATTATTTGTGTTAACCGATATTCATTTGGGAATTAAATAAATTATTGTCTAGACATAGCGAAAAATTGAATGACTCTGAAATCTGAGTAGGGCATTCCACCACTGGATTATATGATATGACCGATTAAAATGATCTTTAATGGATAATTATTCTGAGCTAGATGACGAGAGTTTTCCCCTCAGAATCCGCGCGTGGCTGATAGCAATATTTTTTATATAGTCCTATGTAAATTCAACGTAATAAAACGTATGTACCACGGCTTTATTTAAATAGCTGTAGAAAATATTCAAATAAAAAATCAGTATCTCATTGACATATCGTCAATGACAATTGTGGAAATGAACGGATTTTCTCGCAACTCAAACAATCAAAGTAAATATCGATTCCATATCAAGAATTACAGAATTACGATAATAAATAATTGGAGAACATGGCAAAGTGAAATCGGCAGGAACAAAATGGCTACAAATATATGCAATCATAACTATCAATGACTAAATATATTTTTCATTCCAATTTATTAAATCCAATTTCCCGTACATCTTAATGAATATTTCTTGATAATTATAGATATGTTTTCCGTATTTCGGGGGCTTGAAAGAGTCTGCTCGCAGAATAATTTGAATCGAAAATAAAATGAACAATGAAAAATGATGGAGTACGACATATCGAATCAGTAACGAGTGAATTGTGAGAATTTTAAGTTGAAGGCACAAATCCCGTGGCGTATACCACAATTACTGACGAAAGGTTTTCAGACCGCTAACGAAATAAATTATTCATGTTATTTATTAATCATAATTTTATATGTTGAATGGATCTTGCAAAAGAAGAACGAACGAATAAATAATTGAAATATTAACGAGTTGATACATATCTACACAAAGATTTCGCTGAAAATGGTTCTAACTACGGAAGTATATATTGATGATAACCGAGATTAAATGCGTGAAAGATTATATGGACGAATGTTTGAGGAAAGATATAATGAGTAGAAGAGATAAGAATATATACATGCTAATAGATAAATGGCATATCTGTGAGATGGAAAATACTGAATGACGATCTTTTCATTTTTTGGGGCCAATTGGAGATCGAATGAGGGTTGAGTCGTTGGATCAATTCAAATTATGAGTGCTTTATAATTAAATTATTTATTTACCTCTCACTTGTAATAATATTCAACCTTTCATGTGTTTGAATAAGTAATTGGAGTGATATTCTAGTTTATAATCGTTCACTGCGCTTTTTCTTCCGGTTTACACATAATTTTATTGTTTTATGTTGAAAGTAAATTGCTGAAGACATAATTATGACGCTGTCATATTATTATTGCTGTTTGATTGTTTTTTGGTGGAAAAAATCAGTTCCATGCCCCGCGTTGAGGACATATTCACTTCTTTTTGATATTTTATCTACGAATATAGATAGAATAGCAGAATTTAATAAACCATTGACATATCAAGTCGGCAATGTTGCCAAAGGGAGTGGAAGGGAAATGATCCCGCGAGTGCAGAGAGATGAAATAATTTTTTTTTTATGAGAATTATTATTTCTCACTGCATGAAATTCATTGAATCGACGAGAGAAAAATTCTCGGGATTATTATTATCGAGGGATCCAACCATATCCGATGTACGAAAATGTTTTAGCAAATGGTAAAAGAACGAATAAATAAATAATTTAGAGAGCCGCTTTATCCGATTAATAAGAATCACATGAATTAGCGCGAGTGCATTGAATTCATTTCTATCAACCGTTGAATGTAATTCTATAAAATTTTTCAAAATGAGTTTTGCAGATGAAAATTAATAATAAAATGAGGGGTTTATGTATTCGTAATAAAAGGAACAGATGCTATATAGAAATTCAATGATTTATCATTTTTACTGCCTGCGGCCTTGATTACCTCAATTCCTATAGTTTAAAAAAATAGAAAACAATTCTAAATTAATTAATTCTGTTTTTCTTTCGTCGGTAAATTATTATCACTCGAACATGGGACAGCCCATGGATATCAGGTATTAAATAATCCGGAAAGTTTGTCGATTGCACCGAAAGATGGCAGCAGAATGCAGTCTTGGGAAACTACAGTGAAATTTCTAATAATTTAAATTACATGAGAGTGATAATTATTAGACAGCCGCGACTGCAGGCGTCTGAATATAATTTATCATCGTGTTTCCGTAAATTGCAGATTTTTTCTTACATAAATTCATTATGATTTTACTAATTACCTTTCTCGTAATGAGTATGTGATATATCATATTTTACGGTGTATTACGTCTCTCGTTATTTCTATTTTTTAATATTACGCAATTATATTCGGTTCCTATAATATAACAGGTAGTTGTATAACAATGATTTATATTTTATAATCATGATTTTTTAAATTATTCATAATCCATCCATTTAACTCGACGTATTTTATATTAATTAAACAATTTATTCTGAATTATCTCAATTCGATTCAATTAGAATATAAATAAATTAATAGAAAATATCAATGAATATTAATATTGCTTTAATTGAATCGGTGTAACTTGGGGGAATAAAAATTGAAGTTCTATAATATTCAATTTTAAATTGAGACTTTAAAGAATGATAACGAACAAAATATTTATTAGAATTTCTCCACATGATATTTTTAATAGGCAACTTATTCTAGCCTCGGGAAAATATCAGTTTCAGACGGTGAATAATAAATGAAATAGTAATGCGGATTTAATTTCAGAGAGATGGTAGACAATCACAGGGAGAGAGACATTCAGGTGTTTACGACGTACGAAATATGAAAAATATACCGTCAAGTATCATTGTTTATGAAACCAGTGAACAACCAGTGGAAACCGGGTATACCATTACCATGATGTGCCAGTACTACTGTCAGTGCAGTATCTGCACAGAGAAAATCCACATACTCTCTCATATTTCTCCATTATTATATTCACTAGTTATCGAATTAGATGTCGACTTCACAGTCTTCTCGTTTTATAGTTTACGAGAGATTATAATTCCAACGTTCAGAGTTTCATTATAGATTATATTCCGGAAGATGAAACGAAAAATGCAAGTGGATGAGATAATCGACGGATAAGACCTGATAAATTTATTTAATAATGACGACTGGACATTCGAAAGGTGTGGTAAAAAATATTCCGAAGAATCCACAACTCTTCCATTTATTCAAATTTTGGGTGGAGTACCTCCTGAATTCAGAATCCCCAAAAAATCAAAAAAAATTTTTTTTTATTCTTCTGAAATTCCCATAATAATTCGAATATTCAGATTGTTATTATTTATCATGTATTATTATTTCCCGGAAGATGTGACAACAATTGTGAAGTAGATGAGGTAATCAATGATAATAAAAGGTAATTGGGCTGAATATTTAATGATGATGAGGCAGGGAGGAGGTGTAATGTCGTATGGAGAATATTCTGGTGAGTAGCTCCTGGTATGGTGGTTATTAAAAGTTTGGGTGGAGCATCGATCTTGCCACCGAGGGTTAAAGCAACACGAGCATTGAGGATATGGCGCATTTCTCAGTCACACATTCCCTCAGTGCATTACCAACTGTACACACAAGTGTATTTATCAACACATATACGTTATATTATCTCGGTATGTTTCGCGTCGACGTGAAATACGAAACAGTTTAATAAGCAAGCAGTAGTCCCCGAGTACTGGGACTGATACAAGATACTGGTCGTATCATCCATCAACTGGGACAGAAGCCATCATTATGAAATCCAGGAGCATTTTGATGGTTCAGAGAAAATGAAAAATCACTCGGTTTTAATGTGAGAGAGATCGCGATTAATCGCATGAGGTCGTCTCATATCGAAATATATCGATATCACCAGGTGATTAATCATCGATTCTCTCGGTATGAGTTGTGGGAAATTGGGACTGAGTAATTCCCCGTATTTTTTCACTCCTCAAATTATTTTGTTTTATTTCTAATCTTTTGAACAAAAATCCCACATTTTTATATTTTGTATAAAATTTTTGAAATTCCTTCACAATGAAAAAAAATCATTAATTCATTTTTGGTACTGATGCGCGAGTAAATTAAACGAAATCAAACGATCGAAATGTACGTTGTCGCCATGAAAGTTGCACTGCGTAATGAAACGCCTCCGAGAGAAAAGTCGCGTGCAAAAAAAAAAAAACGTGAATACGTTTGCGTCGTGGATTTAACGGTGTGTTGGTGCGGGGTTGCATGACCACGCAAATAAATAAAAGTCGCAGTAACGTGTGTGTGCGGGCATTCAACGTTGCTAGTTTGCCCTCGTATTTTATATTTTATCCAGCGCGAATGATTGATTGCCCAGTATGCTATATACCAGGGGCTTGGGACTAGATAAGATCTCGCGAAATGCCGCGGGTTCGCTCTACTTGTCATTTCGCGCATTGTTTATTATTGTCCGAGGGGTTTATCGTGATAGACGCGAGAATGACGAAATGGGAAATAAATAAATAAAAATGTTAAATGCAGGGAGAGAAGGGGGGAAGAGAATATTTTTGAAAATTGTTTGAATGAAATATCTAGAACAGCCATATTGCCAAAAATAGGGGATGATTTCGTCAATTTATTATTTTTTTATTGACGTAAAAAAAAATCATTCCGCGGATATTCTTCTGGTGGATGATGTCAGAACGCTCAGGAGTGTGAATAATAAATAAAAATAAATATTTTCCACGAGAACTCAGAGGTGCAATAATGTCTAATAAAATAGGAAGGTGGGGGCGCGAAAGAGCCACTGAATTAAAATACAATTGGCAATTACAATGCCCATTCACATCCGGATACATCATTACCTCTCAAAAGAACATCTGTATTTTATTTTGTTGTCTCACCATCTAACCAGACGTAAACAAAATAACTATGTACTCACTCGGACATTGAGTGGAATAACTCGCTGTTATTTTACCCTCGTCTAGGCAGAACATTGCTGAATTACCCAATAGCAGAGTCGATGTAATTGGATAACTGTGCGTCAGTACAGGAAATTGAGCGTAACATCTTCTGGATGATGTAGATTTACTTGCTATCGAATTTCAAAATAGGTGTGTAATTTAAGTTTTCAGGTAAAAATCAAATTTACAACAAAACTTGGTGAATATATATATATATATTATTTTTAAGTTCTCGTGGAAATTTTCCTCAGAGTGGAATAAAATAAAAAAAAAATGCGGCAAAAATGTACTTTAACGTGTACACGGTTGAGCTCTTGTGGATGGAGACCTGTATTTTTTCCGTAACCTGTACCAATAAAATGAGATAGCGGGAGTAGTAGAGGCATCGACGCGATCCTCAAACAACTATACTTATCGTGAATCGTGCCTTCGAGCTCTGACGATATGCCTTGTGAGGCTCTCCTATCTGTTGTTTCGTTGTGTATATCGAGTCCCGCTTCTGTAATTACTATGTTCTCATATTGGATCCATCGATGTACTCCAGTTCTCCGGGCCAAAACCGAGATTT